ATATATATATATATATATATATATATATATATATTCCCATCAATCATTCTTAAAAGTTTGAACAGCTGATAACAGCAGAACAAACTTATGCATAATTCTTTTTTGTTTTTTTACTGTGGTTCCATCTTGAATACAAGGTTGAGAAGGAAGCCTAAATGTCCTGGTTGGAATGGATTGTAAGCAAATCATATTTTAAAAGTATAAACTTTGAGGGGGGGGGATATTTTGGAAAAAAGGTACCATTCTACAGCAATCACATCTGTGCGCAGATGCATGTGTATGTGCCTTTGAGTCAGTCTTTGGTGACCGCCTGTAAAATTTCATGCAGTTTTCTTGGTAATATTTTTGAAAATGGTCTGCCATTGTCTTTTTCCTAGGGCTAAGAGAGAGTGTCTGGCCCAAAGCCACTCTGTACTCACCTCCATTCTCATGCAATTTCCCCCGGTATATCTTGTCTTCTACTACATCAGTCCAATAGAGGGAGCTCTGATTCAGATGAAAGTCCAAGGCAATGGTGTTTCTCAAGCCAGGCACTAAGACGCTGTAATCTCCCTTGTGTAAGTCAATACGCCGGATCTCATGGCGATTGGAGAAGATGATGAAAGGCTTAAACGGGTCTAAAAATGGAAAGAAGAATGTTGATCACTGCTGCTATTATATTTTCATGATCTTCAAACCCTGGAGCATCCCCTAAGAGGTGCTCCTGCAGCAAACTCTTCCACTTGAAAATAGATTTCGAACAAATTAGCTTTCAATCTTCCGAGTTTTAAAAATCATTTTTGCCTTTCCAATTTTATTCATCTCTGTTCTGCCAAGACGGTCAGGTCTGGGATTTTAATGAACATAACCACTGCCATAAATCATTATAAATTATTAATAACAATCCCTGAAATATGGACAAGGGCTCATTATCCTAGTACTTATTCATGTCACAAGGTAATCTGCGGACGACGATTCCCATAGGCAAAGGTCCAAAGCTCTCGCATGAGCCTCCCCTTTTTCATACAGGAGGGAATGAATGCCACGCTGCAACCGAACAACATTCATCTTTTTAAAATTCTCCCTCTTCCAGCCTTCCCTAGAGCCCTGGGAACAGAGCTGCCTTTCTTTTGCCTGCCAGCGGCAACATGGCAGAATGAGGCAAGTCCCTAAAGGACAGGAACACTGCTGTGTTTCTTGACTGCCGGAAAACACCAAGCTGGACTTCCCCTCCCCTCCTGCTAGCTCCACTTTGGGTCTCTTTCCCATTCAGTTTTCCAAAAAGGCAAGAATCTTAGACTGACCTACTACTCTTCTCACATACAAAACAGATTCAAGGGACCTACCCACACTCCATCCCTCATTACGATTTGGGCTTTGCTATTTTTCCAGAGGGATGGAATTGGGGGGCGGGGTGTCTGTGCATTGGTATCCTGCAGAAAAAAAATCCCAGTGGGCTCCATCTAGTCCTCTTCCCTTTTCTCCTAAAGATGTCCTCTTCTAAAACTTTTCTTCATAGGAGACTCTTTACAGTTTAAGCCAAACCCTGGATGCAGTCTAGCATTCAAGTTTTGAATCAGTTCTTCATTTAAAGCAAATCTTCTCAGTCCATCCTATGATTCCCCATTAGGTCTCAGTGAATCATATAGGAGACACAGTATACTCTTGTGAAAGCAGCTCTGGCCTACAGTTTCACAAGCAATTCGTTGTAAACCCTCAAGAACAGTAGAAGAATCACAGTGAATCCACCGCACACACCCTCAAGAATCAATCCTCGACCTATTATGAGAAGTGATGTGTTTCAGAACAAACACCTGTTCAGACCCTCACGTGGAGTCCGTGGGGGAAAAGAGTGTCAAGAGGATTTTTTTTTCTGATGCCCAAAGCCAGATGTTTAGCAGTTATTGGCCAGAAGGAGAGTATTTTGATGAAAGGAAAGAAAGGACAATATCTCCTCCTCAGCTCTGAAAATAATTGTGTTTCCAAACTGATTGAAATACAGGCTGGAATACTCTTTAAAACAGGGGTCTCCAGCCTTGGCAACTTTAAGCCTTGTAGACTTCACTCCCAGAGTTCCTGAGCCAGCGTCTTAAAGTTGCCAAGGTTGGTGACCCCTGCTTTAAAGCAATCTTCCCCCAGATGAAGGGATGATTTCACAAATTGTAAAATAATGGCTGTGGGTGAATGTTCTTTTTAAAATATATTTCTAAAAAGGGTCAAGTGTGATTCTGAGGAACAGATATTTAAAAGTATGTGCTTACGCAAATGAAGCCAAGATTGGTTTCATTTCCAAGATGCTAAGAGCACGCTTGTCATTTAATAGGTGAAATGTTATCCCAACTACCGTATTTTTCAGAGTATAAGATGCACCGGAGTATAAGACACACCAAGATTTTCAAGAGGCAAATTTTAAAAAAAGGTTTTGCATTCTGCAGACCTCCCAAAAATGGGCCGTTTTTTGCAATAACAGGCCTATTTCCCCCCCACAAAAAGGGCATGCATAGCCTTTAGGAGGCTTATAGAGTGCTCCTGGGGGCTGGGGGGGGGAATTGAGCAAAAAACAGCCCGTTTTCCGTTCATTTCTGCCCTCCCCAGCCCCCAGGAGCACTCTGGAAGCCTCCTAAAGGCTATGCACGGCCATTTTGGTGAAGGGGACGGGGTTTCAGGAGGCACAAAATGCTGTATTCAGTGCATAAGATCACCCAGATTTTCGGCCTCTTTTTAAGAAAATCTGATATCCACTGCCCCCTGCCTTTCAATGAGCCCAACACATTGTTTTGAAGCAGACAGAGCTCACTGAGGACTTACCCAAACTGCGGCAGCTCTCGCCATCAGACTCCAGCATCCATCCTTCATAGCAAGAGCACTTCACATTGTACTTGAACTGCTCACACTTTTGACTACACTTGAGACGCTTGGCACAGTAGCTCTGAATCTGGCAGGTCTTGTTATCAGCACCAAGCTCCATTCCTAGAGGGCACGAGCAGGCAATGCCCTCGCCTGGTGCTACTGTGCAGTTGTGGCTGCAGCCCCCATTGCTCAGAGAGCAAAGATCTGGATGAGATCAGAAACAGCACAGAAAACGATGGAGAGAAATTCAAGCTCAATTTGTCCACACACAATTGCTTAATAAGTTCTCTACCAAAACAAGCTCTATACCACAAACAAGCTCCCTATCACTTCACTACCACGATGAATCTTTGGCTCCAATTTCTCAGTCCTCCAATGAATTAACGGATGTCTCTGAGTTCCATGTACAAATGCAAGTCACCTGAAATTTACTACCAAGAGGATGGAATAAGCATCTTCTACTGCACATTTGTAAGTAAGGGTTTAGATAATAATCTCTGGTCCAAAAGTTGTTTCCTACTGCTCAATTCACAGCATCAATGGCCTCATTTTGACTAATGAGACCAACAGTCTTGAACTTTCTAACTCATTAAACTGTGTAATATCCAAACAATTCACTCACTGTTTACTAGGAAGATTTATAGACCTCTACATTAGCTTTATCTACGATGTTTGCCTTCTTTCTTCAAACGAATTAAAACAGTATCTGTATCGGTTTACGCTGATACATTAGACATTAGCAAGCAACGCCTATCCAATATTTACATCTCCTGCAACATATTTTTGTGGCTATCACTTTTCACAAGAGATGAACAAGATGTCCTCATCTTAGGAAAAAAATGGAGGTTAACTTCTCAATAGTTTTTGAAACGTGCAAGAGCCTAGAGCAGGGGTGTCAAACTCGCATCATCACGGCAGTGTCACGTGACATATTGGGACTTTTCCCCCCTTCGCTAAACTGGGCAGCACATGATTTATCCGGCCTGCAGGCCATGAGTTTGACAGCCTGGCCTAGAGATATGTTCTCCAGGAATTCTGGGAGCTATTCTCCCAAGTTCCTGAGAAGATAGTAGGTTGCAAAAGGTCATTTAGAGCAGTGTTTCTCAACCTTGGCAACTTGAAGATGTCTGGACTTCAACTCCCAGAATTCCCCAGCCAGCGGGAAAGCTGGCTGGGGAATTCTGGGAGTTGAAGTCCGGACATCTTCAAGTTGCCAAGGTTGAGAAACACTGATTTAGAGAAAGGACAACATTGACATAAGACCAAATAATTTGTTCCTTGCCTGACACTCACCACAGAGTTGCCCTTCATCAGACCCGTCCCCACAGTCATCATTTCCATCGCACAGCTTCTCAGGAGGGAGGCAGATAGATGTTGTATTGGCACATGTGTGGGAGGGTGGTTTGCACACCAAAGACTCACAATTCTCTTCATCAGAATTGTCCTCACAATCATTGTCTCCATCGCATACCCAAGCTTTGCTGATGCACCGTGCTGGAAAGAAAGGGAGACAGAGTTAAGAGCACTTCATCTTTTTAATGTATATATGATGTTATATAATCTTTAAAATTCCTAAGAAACACAAAGGAGAAAAGTGAAAAAAAGAAAATCTGGAATTTCCTCTACTGGGGAGGAGAGGCAGATGCCTTGTTCTCTTTTTGAGGACTGCTTCCTCCCGCTCTTTTTTTTTTTTTAGCCATATATTCCCAAATCACGCTCTTTTAACTGACAAAGCAGTAATCAGGAAATCAGTGGAAAAAAAGAGTATAAAACAAACATAAAAACTCAGGAGTAGATCCAGCTGTAATCTTCACAATTTCTCAAACAGCAACTTATTGTTTTCTTACATCCCACTCCCCCACACCCTTCTCAGAAGAATAAGCACCCTGAAAAAGCTCTCAAATCTACATAATTCTGTTTCTCTGGATTAGTAAGAGATTCTAAGGGCCAAAGAATAAACAAGATCATATACACCAGGCTGTTGTTTGACTTGTATTGCATAATACAAAAGCGTCAACTGATGTGTGTTTTTGGTAGGTCAAGTAAGCTATGAGATGTGCATGTTTGGGTTTGCACACAGTTTCTCTTCTTCATGGACACTACTGCAGCAATTATAATGATACAAAATAATATAAGCTTTGAAGAGAATGCGGAGTACATAGATCATGCTAGACTTTTTATTTAAAGATGAGAAATGTATAGCTCCTTGCTGATTCATTATTTAGCAGACCAGAACAGCATACTTACCACTTTAATAAAATTGGGGACAGAGGAAAAATATCTTGAGTGTAGGCAAATACTGCTTTTCCAATAAAGGAGAATATTTGGAGCTCAGGGTTGAAATGAGGTATCTTTGGTGCTCTCTGAGCTTGATAGTTTTCTTGCAGATGTTTCATTATCCAAACTAGGCAACATTGTCAGTGCTAGCAAGAAAACAACCGAGCTCAGAGAGTCCCAAAGGACCTTCAGATATTGCTTTTATTTAGATCCTCTTCATTCACAACTGGGATAATGAGACCTAATGTCCCTGCAAATTACTGTGAACCACACAAACCGCTTGGGCCAAGTTTCAGTTAACTACATTTTTATCTCAACTTTTTTTTAAAAATAAATATTTGCTGCCCTAATAAATATGTGTGAGCAAAAATGGCTGAAGGGTCATTATACTGGGTAATGCAAACTTCAACACAGTCCAGTACCTAGAAGGTGGCATCTGTGACATTCTGTTGAAGTTAATAATAAAAAATTACCCAAATCCATAAGATTGTGTGAAATCTGCTGCAATTTTAGAAGCCAATGCCAAAATCTTGTGTTGTTTTGCTATTCCCATGCAATATCTCTTTTAATTTAGATTTACTAATGCTCATACCAGCACAGCAAATGGCCGTTGCCTGAAAAGGCTGCTATTCATTACACCACACTTATTTTTAGTAAGTCCTGGATACAACTGATTTTTTATATTCAAGCGGTCTAGATGTGTGCAGTAATCTAGTTGCATTCCCCATCCCCATAATGCAATGCAATTTACCGGAATCCTTGCAGCCAAACTTCACATTTGGATCACAGACATGAGTGACACCCTCACAGTTCTTCTCATCACTAGAGTCCATACAGTCAGTGTCGCCGTCACAGTGCCAGCGCATGGGAATGCAGAGGGCATCCAGTCGGCATTGGAACTCATCTGTATGGCAGCCTCCTGGTGGGCGGGTAGCTGCAGGTGGAGGAAAGGAGAGAGCATGTTAATTGGGGCAGTACTGATGACTAGACATGGACACTACTAATTCACTGCTCAATGAACAAGGAGATAAAACCTTGCATTACATAGCAGGGAGAGATGCTCTATCAACTGGAAATAGTTTTCAGAAACTTGTTGTACCCATGTAGGAAGTCACACATTAGATTAGGTGTGTATGCGACCTGAAGGTACACATCATTAGCACCTGTCCTTTATCCTTTGTCATGATCAGATTACCCTCTGATTGCCGTGGAATTAACTAGTGCCTCCATTTCCCCAATAGGAAGGATGGAGCTATTAGAATGATCTGTCCCAGATGCTAAATGGATCTTTTGGTTTCCAGAGGGCACATGGGAGATTAATCCAGTAACGCCACAACAGCAATAGCACTTAAGACTTGTATACCCCTTCACAGTCCTTTACAGCCCTCTCTAAGTGGTTTACAGAGTCAGCATATTGTCCCCAACAATCTGGGTCCTCATTTTACTGACCCCAAAAGGATGGAAGGCTGAGTCAAACCTTGAGGGGTGAGACTGGAACTGCCAAACTGCTGGTAACCAGCAACCAGCAGAAGTTGCCTGCAGTACTGCATTCTAACCACTGCACCACCATGAGTCTTATGGCGCAATAATTCCAGACCAACATCCATAACCAGGGAAAAGAAAGCATTTCCTGCTGCATAAGTGGGTTTATGAGGCCTAGTGCTGCAAATTTTTAAACATCTACCATTTTATATCAATGAAAAATAATTCAAACTTCACATGTGCTATGGGTAAAATGTTTTCATTCTAGCAGATATATATTTCTACAGATCTGTGCATCTTCTATGGAAAAGCTACAACTAACTCTTGAGTCGTCTTTCTTCACTGAATGCTGCTGTAAGAACAAGCCTACTTTTTAATTTTTACCTTACTTATATAAATTTTACTGAAAAATACAGACTAACAAAACCAACAATAATGTATTCAAAATGAAAAAAAGAGGATAAAACTTCAAATGCAACAATACACAGAAAACTTTTATGGAGCAGAGTGTTATCTGCTCAGCACATCGGCATTTTTCCACGGCAGATGCTAGATGTTTCTGGTGCCACACAGAAGCCATTCTAATCACGCCCTATTCTCACCCAGATTGGTGCAGTTGGCATGAGTCTCATCACTGTAGTCCCCGCAGTCATTGTCCCCATCGCAGGTCCAATGGACAGGAATGCAGCGCCCGCTGTTGCATTTGAACTGGTTGCTGGAGCAGGAATGGCTGCAGCCAGCTTCATCACTGTTGTCCCCACAGTCGTTGTCTGGAAACAAGAAATGGGGGAGAAGGGCAATCTACTGGGTTCTGGGGAGCAAACACAACCCTTCCATGCATTTCTCCCCACCATTCCCCTTCTAAGCTAGATGCAGACTTCCTTTAGCTGATAGGCTGATAGAAAGTCGAGAAGGCAGCAATGCATCCACTGTCTTGGGTTACCCCAATTTCTCCAAAGCCTGCATAAATGGAACCCTTCTACCCCCATGCATACTCTAGCCAAACATGCTTATGCATTGCCCCCATAGCTTTTACCACTAAAGAAGCCGCTAAACAATAATAACAGCAACAAGAAGAGCAACAAAATTTATAAAGAAAACACAGAAACTGCATAGATCATCACATGCACCATGTGGGAAGGGGAGTGGGTGAAGTGAAAGGACTCTATCACATTGCTGGATTCCGGGATCAATTTAATGAGTGTATTCCTTGAGATTCAAAACAATGTCCATCCGTACATATACATCTCTGCACAGGTTAGCATGTGTTAGCATGGGATGTCCTTGTTTATTTGAAATATCTAAGTAAGAATTGGCACTAATAGAGAAAATAATGTATGAATTATTTATTTATTTAGCATTTCGTGGTTTATAGATAAATGTGCTGATAATCAAGTTATTATTGTTTATCCATGCATTGTTGGATTTTATTTTGCCTTTAACAAAACTAGTGAACAAGACTGCTCCTACTGCTAATTTTTTCCTTGGTTTTTGCAATTTGCATTGCTTTTGGGTTTATTGGATCTTTTTCAAGCTCTAGAGCCCAAAGAGGGATTCAAAAGAAGCATTCTTTCTAACTCAGTTAGCTTTATCAGCACATCTAATCTGATGCACTGCTGTGTCAAATGCTATGGAAGCCATGAAATATCATTAGCACTTAGACTTATACACCACTTCATAGTACTTTACAACCCTCTCTAAGCAGTTTACAGAGTCAGCATATTGCCCCCAACAATCTGGGTCCTCATTTTACCCACCTCGGAAGGATGGAAGGCTGAGTCAACCTTAAAGATATTCAAGATCGAACTCCTGACAGTGGGCAGAGTTAGCCTGCATTATCACATTCTAACCACTGCGCCACCACAGCTCCTTCTAAGCAAAGATATTTCAAATCACACCTCCCCCAAATCAGTGTGGGTTCCTCTCCCCGTCGCTACCGGTATGCTTCACACGGGGCCGGGTGTCCTGGTCGTGCATGTGCGCTGTGCACCCATGCACACTCTACTGCCCCTGCAACACCCAGCTGCTAATTGGAGGTTACACAGGCGTCACACGCTGTCCGCACGTGCACAATTTGCCGGTTGCTTCGTACCGGCCGGAACCCACCACTGTCCCAAATCATTGGAGTCCCTTTTCTTAACCTTCCCACAACTTGTTCTAGGAAGTTCTGAATGCTGTTCATAGCATCCTTGCTGAGAAGCAAGGGACTGGCATATGTTTGAACACATAGAAGACTGGCTTATGTTTCTGGGTCAGGAGTTCTTTTAAAGTTAGGAACTCTTTGAACCGGCAGGCAAAGAGCAGCAACATTATCTGATGGCCTTCAAAGTATGGGAAATGATAAGCACATATGGAACAAGCAAGCTCCAGAATGGTTTTCCTGCCCATCTAAAGAGATTTATCAGTGCCCCAAACCTCCCCCAAACAAAGACATGAAGTGTTGAGTCTTTGCAGGGACTGAAATTGCACAAGTGATGGCTTTTTGGGGGGTGGGGGGAGTCAAGGAATATAGGAGGGGTGAGGTGCATGTTGATCTATGCACTAACCGTTGCCTTTTGGACAATTCTTTTCGTCAGAGCCATCCCCACAATCCTTTTCTGAAACACAGAAACCAACCAGAAAAGACAGGAGAGTGGGCATGGTGAACACATGTGAACCCACCCAATCAGCACACAACAAACAAAAAGACGACAGGAAACTAGAAATCAAATATGAAAATGGAGACAAACTGGCATCCAAAGATAGAACATGCAGAGACGAAAGGAGGAAGGGCATCAAGAGAGTTGTGTCAAACACAGAAGGGGAATGAAACAGAATCCATAATTCACCCACTTTTTTTAAAAGAAAATCCTCAACGGGAGAAAAAAGATCAGGAGGGCAACCCACATTACTCTCGAGAGATACTCTAAATTCTTTCCTTAATTTGCAGCCTCTACTTCAAAATCAGAATTGAAAGTTGGCTACATTAAGCCATGTCAATTTGCTCGAGTCTGATTTGTGTGAAGGGAGGTTACCTTTGAGTCATACAAACCAGTAGTTTAAAATTAAGTTCTCAATCAAGTCAGATTCGTGACTCACATTTCATCAAAATCATAACTGATCATTAATGTACAATCTCAGCCTCCATAGAAGGCAAATAAGCATCTATCTTTTTTACTTATAAAAATGTAATGGGGTAAAGAACAGAGCTACTCTATGTGCGTTTCTTCCTCTAAAGGACAGTTTAAAAACAACAATAGCAAAAGAACTAGCAGCAATTCAAGAGCCAATTTAATACTAGAAAAAGATGCCTGCCATCTCACTAGCATCTTGGAAAATTACAGGTATTTTCCCCCACATTTCAGGATAAAGGTTTGTAGTTCAATGTTTGAGTGCCTCCATCCACACAAAGTTCCCAGTATCAAGAGAAAACAATCATGTACTTTTCTCTTGATGTTCAAATCCTCCAAGTGCAGGAGACCTTCTTAAGTGGAAAACAGCCAAAAGCAAAATCACATACTTACCTGCAATTTGGTAATCTAGACAACATTGGGCTATTTAATTCTGTACCTGCCGTTAAACTCCAAGCTCAAGACAAAATCCACCCACTAGCTTTCTTCAAGGAAGGTGTGGGAGGATGTGGTGGCATCTAATCTTCATTTTCATTAACCCAGATCTTTTGACAGGGTATTCTAAGTCCTGACATTTTTTGGACAAGTGTGTGATTACACAATGTGATTAAGGAGCAGAAGAGGTCTTGAAGTAAGCCACATTCAAAGGTCTTGCCTGCTAAACTTCCAGGGGGCCAAACAGTTGACTTTCCAAACTAAGGAATATATTGTACTTTGGGATGAGGCAAGTATCTGCTTACTCAACCCTAACGGAGAGTCTAGAGAGAATATCTCAAGTCAAGATGTGAAGCTTGCTGCTTGCATTACTTCTCTCTAGATAGGGATATCTGGAGGATGTAAGGAAGAGCTCACTGAACCCCAGATAAGATACAGGGATAGCTACTCTTACACAGACAGCATTACTTACAGAGGCAGCATGTTAAAGCAGACATTGTCATGCAGAGATGGGAAGTACAGAAAATGAATTCCAAGCCCATTTTTCCCTCAAGAATCTGCAGTTCACCCTTTAAAGACTTTCTTTGTTTCTGACCTCATCATTCCAGCCAACGCAGAAGGACATTGCATGCAGTATAAACTTACCATTATCACATCTCCAATTGATGTTGATGCAGCGGCCATTGTGGCAAGTAAACTGGGTCAGAGGGAAGCAAGTTGGGTAGGCTGCAAAAAGAAATAAGGACATTTGCAGGAGCTATTGTATATCCAGGAAGTTCGGCGGTATCAGCACAAATGGATGAGACGGTTGTGGTATCACAAAAAGTGAAGTTGGGGGAGAGGGATTTTTCAGGGAGACAAGGTTTTCACTTGGTCTTCAAATGGCACTTGGAGGTCTATGCTCCAGAAAATGCACGGAATTATTGTAAATCAGTTCTAAATATCCCCACATACTTAATATCCGGGCCCTTTCAAATTTCTAACTACAATCCAGTGGTATTTTTTCCCCATGCTCCTTAGTTCCAGGTAGGATCTCTCTTTAATGAGTTTCTTCTTGTCCTGCCCTCAGGTGCTTTGGAAAACAAGTCTTATTTCTATAACTGCCCCTTAAGTACTGGAAGACAGCTATCATGTCACCTCTAATCCTTCTCTTTGATAGGTTAGATATCTAATTCTCTTAACCAGTCATTGTACAGAACCTTTGTCATCCTTGTTGCTCTTTTCTGTAATCTTTCCAGGGTCTCAGCATCTGTATTGTGGCAACGATGCAGTATTCCAAATGTGGTGTCACTAGTGCAGTATATAGTGTGGTACTATCACTTCTCCTGATCTTGATACTGTAGATACTCTACAATCCCTCTGTAGATGCAACCTCAGACAGCACTGGCTTTTTTGGCAGCTGCAGCACACTACTGGCTCATATAAGGCGCAGGGGTTAGTGCAGTACTACAGGCTACTTCTACTGATCACCGGCTGCCAGCAGTTTGGCAGATCGAATCTCACCAGGCTCAAGGTTGACTCAGCCTTCCATCCTTCCGAGGTGGGTAAAATGAGAACCTAGATT